CTCCCCAAGAGCAAAACAGCATGCAGCGTAGAATATCCGAGGACGCTCCGACGCGCGAAAAGTGCACTGCGCACATCACGCAAAGAATCTGCGCGACGGAATGCGCTCGACCACTCGTCCCTGGAGCCCGCGCGGAAGAACAGGGAAACCTGGAAATCTTGAAAACTACCAATATCAATACTTCATGCTCCTCTGATTCACAGCAGATCAGCACGGACCTCGTTCGCATGACCAGTCTTCGTGAGCAGGCAGACAGACATGGAGGGCATATGGCTTTCCTCTTTCAGCCGAGGGACTACGGCCGAAGGACTTCCTACCAGCAGTTGGCAAAACAGTAACGGCTGGCACATTTACCTCCATCAGCCACCACATCAACTTCGCGGATCACCACCACCTACTACCCACTCCCACCACCACCCACGCTACTCCTTTTCTTCTCCCCAGGCCTCAGGCACGACACATCACGTACATCCTACCGACGCGCAGGAGTACACACCGACACGACCACACAGGGTCAGCAGCTGCAATAGTCGGACCTCTCCGACAGGCTTCAAAGACGTCCGCAGGCCACCAGGGTCCCCAGAAGTTGCCTCCAGAAAAATACCGACCTGGACAACAACATCAGCTACGCTGTTACGGAACAAACACAAAGTGCGCCCGAACATGCGCCTACATTCAGGACGCGGACTGTGCATGCGGTCCCACATCGCCCACACCCACCTCCAGTTCTTACTATTACGGTCTCCTCTTCATTCCAACTACCTGCAAGAAACCAAGGAAACTACGACGAGAGATAAGGTGTACAACGGGACGGGCAAGAAAGACATACTAAGATCAATCAAGGCGAAACCACCCACGACGGTCCCACGATCCGTAGCCGGTTTTTCTCTTTTCAGTGATTCCTACGACGTGACAGCTGGCCACCTCACCACAGAGATCAGGTGGGCAATGGAGGCTTCCCAATCGAGAGGACCAACGGCCTGGGCAGCGGCAGCGGCACAGGAGGCAACAGCAGACGCACAAACGTACGCCCCGCATGCAACGGCAGCCGCAAACCAGCCCGAGCAGCAGCCAACCGTGATCCAGAAGGCGCACGACCGCGGAGGCCACGGGGCACCCGACCGGATCTTCGGATCAATGGCCTACCGATTGGAGATCGGTCACCGCAGCCTCCAGTCGACGAGCGACGCCTTCGAGGGGATCGCGAAGAGCAGCGAGATCGCCCTCTACACTCTGCACAGGCAGCGCCAGAGGCTCACGACGCCACTTGGCAGGCTCAACAGTGGTAAATCGCTAAACCCTCACGAGGAGATGGCACGCAGCCAGGTCGAGATCAGCATCAAGGAGCAGCTGACGGACATCCAGCAAGCGATCGCTGCAGCAAGGATCCTCCATGCTACGACCAGCGACCGCCGTGGGAGGATCATGCAGGGCCCGATGCCATGGGAGCTGGACTACACCAGGCGCCAGTGCGACGAGCTCGAAGGCGTGCACACACGCTGGACCAAGAGCGAGCACGGGTACGGCTACGACGAGGACACCTACCAAGCCAGCACCGACCAGCCGAGGACGCCAGCCGCCAAACAGCTCTTCAAGCCGAGCATGAGGCCGCCATGCACGAGCCCCAAGTTGCCGAGGGCTGCTGCGGAGGGCGAGAGCTCAGCATGACGTGAGCAGCGAACCACCAAGGACCTGCCATTCCAGATTCCATTCTCGTCAGAGCGCCTAGAGGTGGTCACATACGCCTCACGTCGCCAGGGTTGCTGCGGCTGCAGGTGGCATGAGGCAGCGAGCAGTGACCGCAGGCAGCCCATAGAGGTGGGGACATTCGCCTCACGCTGCCGAGGGCAACTGCGGCTGCAAGGTGGGGGCTCAGCAGGATGCCGTGAGCAGCGAGCCAGAAGGCCTGGCCATTCCATATTGCTCTTTCTCTTTTAGAGCGCCTCGAGCTTGTTAGAGTGTATCGAGCCTGTCGACAGTCAAGATCAGAGCTGCCATAGCACTCCAGTCTCAGCCAGTGTGGCGAGACACCACACTTCGGCGGCATCCTCACAAGCCGGCGGCACTGATCTCGGCACCCGTCCCCCCCCCAACTCGACCTCCGAAGCGGAAGGGGGTGGGGACGGGACGTCCTCGAGAAGTACAAGGCCGCTTGATCATTTGTTTGTTTGTTCTTGCGTCTTGTGGGTGGGTGGGCGGAGGGGAGTGGAGGGGTGGGTGGGCGGGCTCCCAGCGGCGGGGGGTGCGCCCAGAGTGAGGCAGCACCCCTCCGCCTGCAACAGGATCGCAGCTTGACCGAGGCAGGATTCCTCAGGCTCGGGGACCACGTCTCAATGGAGGCGGGCCCCGTCGCCTCAGGCGGCCCCCACAGCCTAAAGGTGGTGAAGGGGGGCGCGCATCCATGTTTTTCCCAGGGGTCGGCATGCCTAGTCGGTAGGCGAAGTTGACAGACCCCCAAGGGCCTTATCCTTATCCTTATCCTCCCTCTCCTCTACCTCCT